GCCATCTAGCTCAGAAGCAACAAAGCCCACATGGACGAAGTACATCGTCCAGTGCCATCACAAGGTATTGAAGAGATCAGGTATCAGGCATCATCAGAACAAAAAATCTTACCATAGCGAATGAAGGGGCGAGTGTGGAGTGGAGACCCAAAGCCTATTTGCAGGCCACTGGAGTTCCCCTTGCAGAGGAGTCTCAGGGAGGAGATGAGCCAGCCAGGGTGCAATGTAGCAACGATGAAAAATACAACTTTCCTCTAGTTCCTAAATGCTTCCTCCCCCACCCCTCCCACTATCATGATTGGAATTCTACCTTGCAAGTCTGGCTAGACCAGAGGGTGTACACTGGGGCAGATAGGAACTGAAAACACGGGGAATCCAGAGCGGATGATCCCTTTAGGACCAGTGGAATGAGTGACGATACTGGGAGCATAAAGGGAGAATGAGTTGGAAAGGGAGAACCGATTACAAGGATCTACATGTGACCTCCTCCCTGGGGGACAGACAAGAGAAAAGTGGGTGAAGGGAGATGTCGGACAGGAGAAGATATGACAAAATAATAATTTATAAATTATGAACAGTTCATGAGGGAGGGGGGAGCGGGGAGGGAGGGGGGAAAAATGAGGACCTGATGCCAGGGGCTTATGTGGAGAGGAAATGTTTTGAGAATGATGAGAACAATGAATGTACAAATGTGCTTTACACAATTGATGTATGGATGGATTGTGATGAGTTGTATGAGCCCCCAATAAAACGATTTAAAAAAATTTGATAGGGTAATAAAGTCATTCCCGTTAAAAAAAATTAGAAAACAAAAAATCAAATTCACTGCCATTGAACTGAATCTCTAAGGACTTACAGCAACCCTGCAGGACGAGTAGAACTGCCCTATGAGTTTCCAAGACTATAACTCTTTCTGGGAGTAGAAAGGCTCATCTTTCTCCTGACGAGCAGCTGGTGGCTTCACACTGTTAACCTTGCAGTTAGCAGCCAACTCATAACCACTGCACCACCAAGGCTCCTCTTAAAATAAATAAAAACGTTACTAGTAAATTTTATTGATAAAATATCTTTTTAAAAATCTTTTATCGGGGGCTCATACAATTCTTATCACAATCCATACATACATCCATTGTGTCAAGCACATCTGTACATTTGTTGCCATCATCATTTTCAAGACATTTGCTTTCTACTTGAGCCCTTGATATCAGCTCATTTTCCCCCCTCCCTCCCCACACCTCCTCCCTCATGAACCCATCATAATTTATAAAATATTATTATTTTGCCATATCTTACACAGTCCGATGTCTCCCTTCACCCACTTTTCTGTTGTCCATCCCCCAGGGAGGAGTACATATGTAGATCCTTGTAACCGGTTACCCCTTTCTACCCCACCTTCTCTCCACCCTCCAGGTATCACCACTCTCACCACTGGTCCTGAAGGGGTCATCTGTCCTGGATTCCCTGTGTTTCCAGTTCTTATCTGTACCAGTGTACATCCTCTGGTCTAGCCAGATTTGTAAGGTAGAATTGGGATCATAATAGTGGGGGGGGGGGAAGCATTTAAGAACTAGAGGAAAGTCTTATGTTTCATCGTTGCTACCCTGCAACCTCACTGGCTCATCTCCTCACCGCGACCTTCAGTAAACGGGTGTCCAGTTGCCTACAGATGGGCTTTGAGTCTCCACTCTGCACTCATCCTCTTTTACAATGATATGATTTTTTGTTCTTTGATGCCTGATACCTGATCCCTTCGACACCTCATGGTCACACAGGCTGGTGTGCTTCTTCCATGTGGGCTTTGTTGCTTTTGAGCGAGATGGCCACTTGTTTCTCTTCAAGCCTTTAAGACCCCAGATGCTATATCTTTGTGTGCATATGCAAATGAGGTGAAGAAAATGTTATCTTAATAGACTATAATTAAAATGGTGAGAAACACTGTCCAAGGCCATTTGGCTCAATCTTCACTATATTTTGTCAGAGCTTGCAGTACTTTTCCATTTCCGCCTATGTGATATAGTTTTTGTGATTATGTTATCTCCCCTCTGAATAGCCTGTCCTTGGGACTGGCTGAGTTTAACCTTCAAGTCTGCCTAGAAACAGATAAGGGGGCTTCCATACATGGTGTGACGTTTTTTTAGATAAAGCACCTATATCCTGCTTCCCCTTGATTGGGTAGGAGATTGTCTTCACCCTATTTACATATCTAGTGCCTGCACCTGATTTGCATAAAATGACATCACTTTGCATACTTGGTTGAAGACTAAACCTTTACTGAGGGCGCACTCCCCCGGACTCCTTGATTGGTCTATTACCAAAGTGGCCTAATTTACATGTGTGACGGGTGTTTCCCTTCCCCTGGCCTATCTATATAGGCTGCAACCTTTCACTCAATACGGAGAGACTTGATCAGAATACTGTCTTGTCTCGTTTCTCGTGTCTCTTGTTCCCCTCAATTCCCACTCCCTCCTCCAGGGTCTGCGTTGACGTTCCTGCGGGCTGGGACAAAACATAAAGATAGTATGCTTCATTTACCTCGCAGTATCTTGCAGGATATGGTACCCAGCTATCATAAAGAATACTGTCTGAGGTCTTAAAAGCTTGTCTTAAAACAAACAGCCATTGAAGTGAGGAGTCAGCTAAGTCCACACAGAAGGCGCACACAAGTCTGAGTGATGCAAGCATGGTAAATAATAAAGTCCAACACGAGAGGAGGGAATTATATTAGAGCTTAAATTCTGAGTACCCAGTTTTCAGAAGGATATAGATGGCAATGAAATTCCAACATCCATTTACAGAGTCCCCACAGGATTAAGCCTCTGGTGAGTCCCCTCTGACTACTGATTAGGGATATGAATAACCTTGTCCTCAGACAGAGCGCATTGGAAAAAGGAGTGAGGCGGATATAGCTACATTAAATTATAATGTTTTATCATTAGTTTTCTCTTTGACCCACTTTGACTGTGTTTTAGTTTTTATTATTTTTTTAAAATCATTTTATTGGGGGCTTATACAACTCATCAGAATCCATGCATCCATTGTGTCAAGCACTTTTGTACATTTGTTCCCCTACTCATTCTCAAAACATTTGCTTTCTACTTGAGCTCTTGGTATCAGCTCCTCATATTTTCCCCTCCCTCCCCGTTCCCGCCACCCCCATGAGCCCTTGATAATTTATGTTATTATTATCTTGTCATATCTTACACCGTTCAACATCGCCCTTCACCCACTTCTCTGCTGTCCATCCCCCAGAGAGGAGGTTATATGTAGATCCTTGTAATCTGTTCCCCCTTTCTCCCTTACCTTCCCTCCACCCTCCCGGTATTGCTACTCTCACCACTGGTCCTGAAGGGTTCATCTGTCCTGGATTCCCTGTGTTTCCAGTTCCAATCTGTACCAGTGTACATCCTCTGGTCCAGCTGATTTGTAAGGCAGAATTGGGATCATGATAGTGGGAGGGAGGATGCATTCAAGAACTAGAGGGAAATTGTATGCTTCATCGTTGCTACACTGCACTCTGACTGGCTCGTCTCCTCCCCACAGCCCTTCTGCAAGGGGATGTCCAATTGCCCACAGATGAGCTCTGGGTCCCCACTCCCCACATCCCCTCATTCACAATGCTATTAGTTTTTTTATTATATTGTTATTTCTTTTGGATTGAGATTTTCCTGTGAGTTTTTTGTTGTGAATTTTTATTTGATTGCTTGGTTTCTTTGGAGGGAGGTATGATTTTATTTATATGAAACACAGAACAGGTAACTTTAGACAGACAGTAATTAGATTAATAGTTTCTTAGGTCCCACCCACAAGATAATTGGGCAGTCCCTCTCAGAAAGGCCACATGGAATGGATGATACATTCAGGGTACGGTATGGCACTGATGAACCACATAACTATCCTCTCTTTCATAACTATTTCCTCCCCTTACTATTATGGTTTTTTTACTTGTTTTACCTCATTAATCAAGTAAGATTTTCATATGTTCATTTATGTATTTAAGATTCTGCAGTACATGAAAATCAAGATACATAACCCTTCAGAAATAGTTACAGGAGTAACGGTTCCCTGAGGGTATGAGGAGGGAGGTGGGGGAAGAGTGAGAATGGGGAGCTGATAGCGATGATGAATGTATAGCCTCATTAGATATTGACCAACAGAACTGAATGTGAATGGACATATTGGATTGTGTAAAATGCTAATAAAATGATTATATAAAAGTTTAAAAATAATATTTTCTTAGGTTTATGGCAGGAGAAGTTGGTGGAAAGGGGGTGCTAATAATAATGAGTCAAAGAATGAAGAAAATGTTCTAAAATTGAATGTGGCCATGACTGCACAACTCTTTTTAATATTAAACCACTGAACTGTATGGTATGTAAGTCATATGTCAACAAGTGTTAAAAATACATATGTCTTACAGGATATAAGCCAGGATTTTTCTTTGCACCTTTCCAGTCTCCTTTTCTAAACTCAGTTCATAGCAAGAATAAAGAAGTATAGTTTACTCTTATCATATATTAACAATAGACTCATTTAATACAGAATTCTGCATTTGAACTAACCTTTAGTGTCGAATCATTGCCTCCAATATCTTCAAACTTCATACTGGAGGTCTGCAATTCTAGCGCTCTGGGTTTAGCTACCAAGCAGAAAAGAGACGAGGTAAAATTCGTGATGGAGCAAACAGTGAAGAAAATCAGACTCAAGGAAACAATCAGTCCAAGGACTAATGGACCACGCAAACCACCGCTTCCGCTAGTCTAGGACAAAAGGAAGCAGGTGGTGCCAAGCTACCACTACTGACTGCTCGGAGCAGGATAACAACGGCAGGTCCAGGATGAGGCAGAACCCTCAAGACCAGGGCCTTTAGAAACCCTTCAAACCTGGAACTGAAACGACTACCTGCTGGACAGATAATAGAAAAGCCTGTAAAGTGAACAGTAATACTTGTGCGGCAAGTGATCATCAAAACCATCCGAGACCTAAACAGAAAGACAGTATTTGCGGCCCCCTCAAAAAAAAAAATTTAGAAGGTAAGAAGGGGCAGGGAAGATGGAGTGATTGGAAAAGGGAACCCAAGGAGGAAGTGGGAAAAGGGCTGTTACATTAAGTGGGGTGCAACTAATATCACAAACCAAAATGTATATAAATTGTTGAATGGGAAATTAATTTGCTCTTACTCTTATCATGATAAATTGTTGGAGAAAAAAAAAGAGTAGTGATTGCAGTAATTCATAAAGTGATTTCATTCATCTTTGGGAAAATAAAGGTCCATTGGATACTAAAAAGGTCAACAGAGGAGTCGTGCTGGAATTGTCTGGTAAGCATTGAACTGCTAAGCACAAGATCCATGGTTCAAATCCACCAGCTGCTCTGTGGGAGATAGATGAGGCTGTCTGCTCCCATAAAGATTTAAAATAGCCAACAGAGATTTCCCAAAGCAAAATAGCACAGGAGAGAAATGATTCTTCTCTCATAACAAATATGACCACCCACACACAGCACTCATCTCACCTTTCTTTTGCAAAACATCTTCTATTTCTCCATCCACATCCTGAAGATCTTCTTTCTTCCTTTTGCTTCCTTTGCTCTTTCGCCTAACTTTTTGTTTATTATCACTCTCCAGAAGAGAAGAATCTTTTGCATCCTAGAGAGAAAAGAAATTTAAATGTACCTAAACATATTAGGCATTTTCAAGTACAAAAAAATCCTTATACAGTGTAATTCAATAGAAGAGTCAAACTCTTATCTCGACCTTGCTGATCTTAATTAATCATGTTCTCTCCATGGATAATTGAAGCAGAGCTTTAGAAGTGGCACATTAATATAAATCCAAAGGGGACTGCTTTGCCCAAATCAAAGGTTTGGGTTCTTAAAACCATTTGGGGCAGCACTATCCCACAGAAGCACCGTGTGAGCCAGCCATGCAACTTTATACATTCCAGCAGCCACATTTTAAAAAGTAGAGTGAAATTAATGTTAATGATAAGCTTTAATGTACGGGGCCCTGGAGGTATAGTGGGTACGGGTTGGACTGCGAGCCACAAGCTCAACAGCTCCCAACTACGAGTCGATCTGGGGGAGAAAGACTGGGTTTCTTTCTCCTCCCACAGCTACAGTCGCTGAAACTCCTGGGAGCAATTCTACCGGGTCACACAGGGCTGCCGTGAGCACACCCCCACTGGATGTCAGTTGAGTTCAGTTCCTGTTGCTTTAATGGACATATGTAATATATTAACATTTCAACATAGGATCAATATGAAAAACTGTTAATAAGCTCGTTTACTAAGTCTTCAAAATCCACACTATACTTTATGGTGACATACATGGCACTATTTGATTTACATTTAGGTCTCATCAAATTTCCAACTTAAAAAGTAAATCCACATACTCATTTTCCAATAACTGAAACGATCAGTTTTTAAAATTGAATTAAATATAATGGCCTCAGTTCGTTGTGGAACTAGTCACTATTCAAATGTTCGACAGTCGCATGTCCAGCTCATGCCAACTTGGTCCTCAAGCCTTAGAGCTCCCTCCACTGTACATGGAGCCTTCACAAGGGTCAGGGGAAAAATCCCAGTATCTTTTCAATGTGTTTTCCATGAGCTTCCTGAAACGCCTCCTTTCACAATATACATTACTTTAAACATCTCATTCTGTCAGACATTAAAAAATACCAGTTAAGACTGCTGCCCAATATGAGATAATTCATCAAACTTTACTTTTTTTTTTTAACGGCTTTATCGGCACATAATTTATATGGCATACACTTCAATAGTTCAATTGTTCAATCATTCCAAAAAGAATTGTACAAATATTATCATATCAATTTTAGAACATTCCACACCCATGATTAATTGCCTTTAAAATGAGTTGTGCAATCACAGTCAGTTCTAGTACTCCTTCGCCCCTCCATCTTCATTTCCCCTCCCAAAATCTCCTTTCTCTCCCTATCACCCACTCCCCACCTGTCTCCCCTGTATCAGTTATTATCACTATGCACCCACTCCTCCTGTGGGTCAAACTGGTAAACCCAACAGAAACAATAAAAAAACAAATTCAAAATAAGATGGTAAAGAAAAAAATAATATTAATATAAAGCCTAAAAAACAACTAATGAGTAGAAAGGAAAGACCCTCATCAACATTCCAATAGCCAGGGAAGAAATTTCTGTCATGGAACAAGAGATAATCCAACTCCGGTCAATCTACAAGGAGGCCATCCGGCCAAGTCTGGAGTTCGACTCAGCACATTCAAGAGTACAGTGGTGCCGGCCTGACAGCAAAACTTTACTTTTCTTTATTGATGTTGTATTTCTACTTTAAAAATAAAATGTTAGGAAATGGTGCCTGCCTGACAGCAAAACTTTACTTTTCTTTATTGATGTTGTATTTCTACTTTAAAAATAAAATGTTAGGAGTCTATTTACTCTATTTTCATCTCCTATCCACTCATGTAGCGCCCTTCATGGTAATACCATAAACTAAAATAAGCCACATTGCCATCTCAGCTGCAACCCTCCCTTCTACCTAAAACTGTCAACTCTCTGAAATACATATCCAAAGAGGTTATCTTTTTTTCTTACTATCCATTTCAGGAAATCCATTAGGCATTAATTTAACTAACTGATGGATATGTGCTAAACACATTATAATTAAGACACATTATATGTTGGGCTGCTAACCGCAAGGTCCACAGTTCAAAACCACCAGCTGTTCTGCAGAAGATAGGGCTTTCTTCTCCTGCAAAGAGGTACAGTCTCAGAAACTCCCAAACACACTTCTACCCTGGTCCAATACGGTCACTGTAAGTCAGCATCAACTCAAAGGCAGTAAGAGACTAAAGAAAACAAAGTCCCTGCTCTCCTGGAGTTTACACTGCAGGGGACAAGGCAACAACCACAGGACTAAGCAATGTCCCCTCTGCCAAAATGAGTGATGTGAGCAGTGATGGAGTGCGTCACATCGGAGGAAGACTGTTATAGGCAGAAAGAAATGCCTAGCGCGTTCTAGAGCCGGCAAGAGCCACTGTGGCTGAAGCAAAGTACAGGGGAAAGGGTGATAGGAGATGGGATGAAGTCACAGAAGGCGACCAAATCATGCAGGGCTTTACTAACAAGGATAAGATCTATGGCTGTCAGGCAGAATTAAGCCACTGGAGAGTTTTAAATGGGAGAATGACAATAAATGACTTAACTTGTATCTGCTTAATATACTATTCAATGAAAACAGTATAATATATTCCAATTTAGTCAGGCTAGAATTTCATAAACAAAATCACCTATATCTGGGGTGGGGGTGGGGTGGGTGACAGGGAGGGAAAGGCAATTTCAGGAATAAATAATAAAGGCAGTATGGCGGTGGAGGAACCAACAGCACTGTGATTGCACAACTCGTGTTAAAGGGGATTTAACCATGGGGGCCTCTAAGATTGATGTGCTGGATTATTGAATTGTATGATATGTACATTATGTGCCAATAAAACTGCTGGGAAAAAATAAAATAAAATCACCTGTATCCCAGACACTGGCTTCTTATTATTACTGTGCTCATCTGCCAAGTCCAAGAAAAAACTCTCTTTCTTTCCACCTGGAGTTCTGTCAATAAACCACCCTCCTGGAGAAATGGTGGCAGAGGCCTTTGAAGGAACAGAGCGGTCTTTGGAAGTCCGTTGCAGTGTTGAAGTGGTGGGTTCTCTTTGCTCCATCTCAGGAGTATTTGAAACAGAATCAGGATTTCCTTTCCGATATAAAGATAGCAGGGAACTGTTCATGTGATTGGCTGACTGTCAGAAACATAATTTTAGTATAAATTACTCATCTACATTAATATATTTCCTATAAATGTTTTATCTTCTACAACTTTTCCCATGGCATTTACATTCAGAAAATGTAGTATTCACAGTAAGACGATCCACAAACAAGTGTTCACTATGCAAAAACATGTACCCTATCCAACTCCAAGTTAACAGACTAATGCATAATATACAAATGAAAATGAATAAAACCAAAGCTGTCTAACACCACATTATTCGACACCCAAAATTACCACACACACTACTATGCCCTGTCTTTCATAGATTCAAATCACCTGATTAGCTTAGCCAATGATAGAAATGCACATTCTCTTCTCTGCACAATATGAGCATACTTAATAGCAAAGTAAAGGAATATAAAGGCTTAACAAGACTTACTAAATTTACAGGAACAAAGTCTTTAATTCAATGACAAAATATTGACTCAAACATAGACATATGCCCCACAGATGAACAAAAGGTAATTCATATTTTTCTAAATTAATACTTTCTAAAGGCAGCAGCTTTAGTAATAATGCTTTAATTTAAAATAACTAGGTAATCGAGTAAAGATGAAGTACAGTGTGGTGATTATGAACGTAGGCTTCTCCCTCCCCCCAGAAGAATTCACTTCAGCTACAGCTCAGGGAGAGGGGCACGTCTGATCCAGCACACAGCACACGGGAGCAAACGAAAAGAGAGTGGAGCACATCCTGGCTCACCAAGCCCCGAGGATGATATTCCTGCTTAGAGTAGCCAATGCTCAGATAGGCCCATAGGGCTGGCCCCACCAAGAGACAAGACGTTGTCCCTCACTGACCCATAGTGCTACGGAGGACAACACTGGAGACACAAAACAGGAATTGTGCCCAATCTGACCCTACCACACTGGGGTGAAACACTAAGGGCACACAACAGAATAGCAAGGGGAGCAAAGCAATGAAGTCCCTGGGGAATACCAAAGATAGATTGTGGGGTCAGGCTGTGGCAACCTATCAGACTTGACAGGAAACATTCCTAAAGGTCAACAAACAGAACTTGAACTATTTATAGACTTGTCTTTTTTGTTGTTGGTTTTTTTTGTTTTGTTGGTTTGTTTTGCTCAGTCTTGTTTTTGTGCTTGTTATTGTCTCTGCATGTCTATCTAGATAAGATAGGCAGGATAAACAATCCAGAGGAGAAAACAACAGGACCAACGGTTGGAGAGCAGGGAGGGGGTTGTGGAAGACATGGGAGAGGGGGAGGCTGGGAAAGGAAGTGTGTGTGTTAACAAACCCAGGGACAAGAGAACAACAAGTGATCTAAAATCAATGACAAGGTGGGTGTAGGATGTAGGTGGGTGTAGGATGCCTGGTAGGGCATTGTAACAAGGGCCTTGTAACAGAATTACCAAAACTCAAATGAAGGCTGGACATGATAGTGGGTCAAGAGGAAAGTAGAAAGAAATATAGGAAAGAACTAGGAGGCAAAGGGCATTTATAGACGTCTAAATACAAGCATGTACATGTAAATATATTTATATATAAAGAAAGGGAAATAGATCTATGTACATATATTTATATGTTAAGTATTAAGGTAGTAGATAGACATTGGACCTCTACTCAAGCACTCCCTCAATGCAAGAACACTTTGTTCGAATAACCTTGCGTTCTGTGATGCTCACCTTCCCGACACAATCGCTGAAGACAAAAGTGGGTGCATAAGCAAATGTGGTGAAGAAAGCTGATGGT